AAGGCCCTCTTCAGCCTGCTTTCAGGAATCGTGGGAATGGGTGGGTGGTGGTTCGGGTGAGAAAGATGAGACGGACGAAATGAAGACAGAAGAGAATGAAAGATTATCTGTGGAATATTACTACCTCAGCATTTGTCTAAGTGATCCAAGGAAACCACAGAAAAACTTGGACCAAGGCAGACGGACTCGGAAACGGAACGTATTTATAGTGAGAATCCGCCTTAATCTGCCCCTGGCGTAGGGCGGCTGAGAGCCTTAAACCGCACCTGTGTATATTTGCTGACATTTGAATTTGATTGGTATGTGAGTCCTGGCGGTTGAAAGAATGTTCGAATTTGGTTGGTTGACAAATTATCCGTACGTATGGGGACAATGCGATAAATGGGAGCGATTGCGTGCACAGACCAGCACAGGGGAATCCACGGTTTATCGTTGCAGAGATAAGTGAGGTGCTATAAAATAAAAGAACGACATAAAAAATAAAATAGTTCACGACTTTCGAAATAGTTGTACACAGTATTACTTCAAGGAAAAAACATTTATTGTTTGTTCTTTAAGGTACGTTTATTTCTTAATGTTTTTATCATAAATAATCGAACAGTAGTCGTTAAATACACTTACCAGTTTCATAACCAGGTAAATGTGAAATATACATTATACATACCTACATACGTCTATTAGATATTAGAAATAATTTTATAAAGCAACCGTATATAATGTTTTTGTAATATCAAGAATATTTACATTAATTCATTGTTACAGTTTGTTTTACTTAATTAAAAATTGATTGTATTGTATTAGCCGAACCAGCTTTTTTAGCTCGTAAAAACGTAATCATTTTAGTTCAGGCAATATAGGCGAATGAGTGGGAAAAATTATTCGGATTAAATTTTTTTACGCAGTTTTGTTCGGAAGATTCTTCTGAATACTGCGATATAAGTTGCCACTGGTAGGGTATTGTTTAAATCACGATTGTTTCAATAAATGGCAAAAAACAACTTTTTTGGCCGAAACAATTTTTTTATATTCTTTGGTTTAATCTCGATAAAAAAGGTCTGAAGTTTCTCTTTGTAGGTTAATATCTTCCGAGGAGTTATGAATTTTTGAGTCTGAATTGGAATATACATGAAAATCGTAATTTTTTGTTGCAAAAAATTATTAAAAAGTCTGTTTCTTTTTAGAAGCTGATATTTTATATATATTTAATAAACCATATTCAAAAAATTGCATCAAAGAAATTTTTCTTTTTTCTATTAAAAGATTTTTTATTACGTATATACACATTTCCACTGACTACGTACTGTCTGCTGTCTTTCTTCCACTCGCGCATCTTATGTTAGCGCCTTGCAGCCAACATGCGTTTTAAATAATTAAATTATAAAATCATTTAATAGAAAGAAAAGAAATTTCGTTGATGCAATTTATTAAATACTAGTGACCCGCCCCAGCTTCGCACGGGTGCAACGCTGATACTAAATATATTTTTGTTTTGTTTAGATTATTATCGAAAAAGGGAAATCTTCAAAAGATACCCACTGAACATACTAAATATACTACAGAATGTCTTTTTATACAACATTCACAGCTTTTTGTCATTAGACAATACAAACCGGCCGGTACCGCCGCAACCGCTATGTCCCTGCATTTTTAATCTGTAATATTTTCGAAAATATTCATTTAAATTACATGCTGTAAAGGGCCATATTGATCTATATTAAATGCACAATGTATTGAAGGTATTTAATTGGATAAGAATTAATGCTGTTTTGCCTACAATTTCTTCGTAAATAAGTCATTATTTCTCATAAAAAGTAAAGGATAAAAATGGTTATTGTGAATTATCCCTAAGAGATAGACATATACCTTCGCCGACTTTTTTGTAGACCCTTTTACGATGTACAATATTGTAGTACATTATTCTGATCTATCTCGTAGGGTTCAGCCAGCGTTTGCAATGTAAGCGCAAAAAAATGTGTTTATTTACATATCATTAGAAACCTCTAAAATTATCAGTATTTCTCTACTATATTATGCATGTATTATACATATAAACCTTCCTCTTGAATCACTCTATCTTTTAAAAAAACCCGCATCAAAATCCGTTGCGTAGTTTTAAAGATTTAAGCATACATAGGGACAGACAGCGGGAAAGCGACTTTGTTTTGTACTATGTAGTGATACATAAAATATTAGCCTCTATAAAACATATTTTTTAATGACTTTTTTGAAACAGAAAATAGTAATTTTCATGTACATTCAGGCTTTCAAAAATTCATAACTCGGAAAATATTATCTTTACAAAAAAAATAGACCTTTTTTATCAAGATTAAACCAAAGAATATAAAAAAAATATTCTGGCTAAACGAAGTTGTTGTTTTGCCATTTGTTTAAACAAACGTGATTTAAACATTACCCGACCGGATGATAATCTAGGTATATCATTGTATTCAGGAGAATCTTCCGAACAAAACTCCGTAAAAAATTTACCGCCCATAGTACCTGGACTATTATAAGATAATCGGTGTAAAAAACAAATAATAATAAGTGACTTGAAATTTAGTAACTTGTAATATATATTTGAAAGAAATCTTAATAGAGTAGAACCTTGATAACTTAAACCTCGATAGCGTAATAACCTCAATAAATTTTTTAAAAAATTTTGTGTTCCCTTCCCCTCGGAGTCCAAAACTTCTATTACTTAAAATAAAAACCCTCTATAACTTAAACGAATAATTTGGGCATCGCACCTCAGTAAGCAGTGAAAAGTGGTTTGAATAGGGAGAAAGTCTTGTATGTAAAGGACGACGAATTGCTGAATTTCCTAATTTAGAAAAATGCTTGTTGTTTACATGATTAGACAGTGTAGAAATAAAAGCATTAGTGTGAGTGGATCTATACTAAAGGAAAAAGCTGAAAAGTTTGCTAAGTCACTGGAAATCCATAATTTGAAAGCTTAAACTTGAACCCTTACTAAGTAAAAACCTCAATGTCTGAAATGATTTTACGTTTCCCTTGGTCTTTATCTTATCGAGGTTCTACTGTATAATCTAAATTTACCATAACGTAACCGCATAGGCAGGTAATTACCTAACTTGTTATATTAATTTTTCGACAACCTTGTGAGTGAGAGTAAGTGGCATCAAATTAGCAAATTATAAAAATAACACAGATACACGGAATTGATTTTAATCTTTCCAGATATCGATTAATATTTTTTTTGTTATCCTTGACAGGGTTCTGGTTATGTGTTAATCCACTTATATTTTCACACCTTGTTTATTTCAATTTTGTAAATACGTTATTATTTGATCGATAAGATAAATAGTCTGCAGTAATTGCTACATTTATGAGTAAATGAGAAGCCGTGATTGAGAAATTATAAAACTGAGGGTGACACCTTGGATATCGAAACACGTTTAATTTTCTAAAGGTTTTATGGAATTTTGGGGGCTTAACTGTTACGCTCCACAGCACTCAGTTATATTTTGTGTAACATTATTCGTTTATGTTATATGTATTTATAGCTTTATCACCATGGCGATTACTAAAGAAAAACTACTTCGGAAATATCTGCTTACAGTTTAGACGGCTAGTATTTAAAATTCTGACAATGAAATAATTATCCAATGCAGTTTTGATCCAACAATTCTCAATGAGTAGCTATGTAAATACATACAGAGTGTTCAATTTGAAAAAATTTCTTACGATTGTTTGAAGTTGACCAAATCCGTCATTAATTGTCTAACACCCTGTATGTAATTAACACACTGAAAGTATTGTAATGTTCGTGGGTTAAAAAAAAATAACTTTTAAGAAGAAAAGTATTTATTTGCACTAATTACTATTAAACTTGAAAACACTATTAAATTATTACTAAACTTCGGTAATTATTCTATTTATTTACACTACTGTTACTATTCACTGTTCTATTTATTTTACTTCTATCACTGTCAATTTATCTCTTGATTCACCTCTGCAACGGTCCATTTATTTCTACTCCACTTCGGCGATCGTCTCTTCCTTTTTATACTCCCTTGCCTCCTTTCGGGAACATTCTCCAGCCGTCCAGAGAAGTCTCGTTTTATTTGAACGGTCTAATTGCTTTACCGGAACGCAGGTACGACATACACGTTTAGAGATACGGCGTACATGAAGAAAAGCGCCCGCGGCTAGTCGGCGAATCGATAAGCCACTCACACACACGTATGCCCGATCGGACACAATCACGCTCGTGATCGCTACAGTATGAACGGGAAGCTCGTGCATATCTCTTCTACAAATATTTTATATACATACTTGAATTCTTCGTTAAATTTAGATGTCACTGACGACCTTTTTTGAAAGGGAATAAATTCTGTTTGAAAATATTTCGATTAAACTTATATTTGGCAAGAATGAGCAAACTTTTTAAGCCATTTTTCCCGAAAACAAAATACTTCAATATTGCAGCTACTTTTCGTGTATGGTCCCATATTTTGAAATTGTGAAAAATTCTTTCTTCTTTCGATTACGTCCATATACAATAACAGTAATGTCATTTAAAACCTTTGTGCTATTATTGATCATTCTGTTTCGACATGTTGGACGCGGAAATTATAGCAGTTTAAATTGCAGGAAAATGTACCAAACATATGAATTACCCGACAGACATTTTTTTTTAAATCGACTAAAAATAAGGAACTTCCGTGGTATCAAAGGGTAAATGATATATTATCCAGTTAATAATACGTTTGTTTCAATTGATCTGTCTGCAGAAAATCATTATTCAGAATGTCAGACTTAATTTTTAATCAATTAAAAAATTTTGATTTATATCTAGCTCTATGTAACTACGATGGGAATGGGAATGACAAAATGTATAAGTACCTGCAATGGACCCTTAATGTTCTGTAAAATAATATAAGTAATTGTCGACCATTCAGAAATATATCGACTTGTACAAATAACTCGACAACTTTTTACTTTCAGAAAAACTATTACGAAAGATAAAGTTAATGTTATTAAAAGTGCTGTGTAATTAGTAATGTCTCCACTTAACCTACAACCAGAGAAAAGTACCTATTTATCATTTCCCTAATAAGTGAACTCTTATAGCACACTTACGATTAAACAATAAATAATACAATACTTAACTACATAGTATAGAACAAAGTCGCTTCCCGCTGTCTGTCTGTCCATATTTATATTTATATCTTCAAAACTACGCAACTGATTTTGATGCGTTTTGTTTTTAATAGATAGAGTGATTCAAGAGGAAGGTTTGTATGTATAATACATGCATAATATAGTAGAGAAACACTGATAATTTTAGAGGTTTGTAATGTGATGTCGTAAATAAACACATTTTTTTGCGCTTACATTGCAAACGCTGGCTGAACCCTACGAGATAGATCAAAATAATGTACTACAGTATTGTACACCTTAAAAAGGTCTACAAAAAAGTCCGCGATGGTATATGTTTATCTCTAAGGGATAACCACAATAACCAGTTTTTATCGGATAATACCTAGTTCCCTCCCATATACCTGTTTTTAATTAGGGTTAAAATTTTTGATATGTCGAATTCCCTCCTAATTATACATCAATTGCCTCCCAACGGCGGCGGACCTTGAGTGCTAATTACCACTATAAAGTGATAAAGAGTTGTTTAAATAATACAGCCTCACATCACATATTATTTCATATATTATAGACACCACAATAACAATTATAATTTTATCGGACTACCCTTCTATTGGTCAAATACAAGACAAACTAAAACTAATAAAGTTTTTTCTGGATGATTGCATCAAAAAGCTAGACGCATATGAATTTCTAAACATTGAATTTGTTAAGGTAGTGNAGAGCTCTCCTCTGATTTGTCTCGTACTGTCCCGCCCTTTTATTTGATTTCTGGAGTTTTTCTTAATTGGTGATTAGAAAGAAAGAACGAGGAAACATAAATATTACATAATAAGTTCATAAGTCGGTTACGTGGATTCGACTCCACGTGGACAATTTCCGAGAATTCTAATTATTACTTGACATTTATAACGGTTATAGTTGTCAATCAAGTCTACATAGAGTGTTTTCAGGAATCGGACTGTATTAAATATAATAGTATTAGGTTTGTCAAAATCGTAGCTGTCAATCAACTCCACGTGGACTATTTTCGGAGATCGGGACATCTTACTATTATTGTATTACGTATGTAGCAACCGTAGCGGCCATCGCTGCTCCACGCGTGATCTGTACGTGGATCAGACGATGATCCGGTATCAATATATTGCTAGATTATTTATTATACCTTTTAAAAGTAAGTGGAAGAGGAAAAGTTTAAGAACCACGATATTAGAAAAAGATTTTTAAATATTTAGTGGCTGTAGGAGGCATAACAATTTCAAATGTAAATGAATGTTATAATAAGTCTCAGATTATTATAGGCGCGACAAGGGAGACAGATTAAAAAATGAATGCCACAGACTAAATTAACCATAAATTAAAAAAAAAGTTTTATTTTTTTAGTTTATGTTAAATATCAACAATATTCTTTTTACAATGCGTTTTGCTCTTTTCTTATCTGGAGATCATTGTACCTGTCATATTCTGCAGTAATTACTTTTTTCATTTAAAAGGCATTCAATTATGTGTTTATTATCTTTTTGTGGTCAATATGTACGTATTTATTTTAACAAAACAGTTCTCTTGCGGTTTGCTTAAACCACAGACCGAAGTAGCTTATTCGAGCTTTTTGCATTTTTACCGTACTGTTACGAGAGACTGGTCATTTTTTAAAGAATATAATGCACCCATTCAAAAAATGATGTAAAGTTAATAATTAATTTCAAATTTTATTAGTATAAGTTTTTTTTATTATTGAAGCGGAATAGGTATACCACTCTTGTAAAATATCCTTCTTCTGTATACAAAAAAAAAATACAACGTGTAATTATACAACACGCTACTGAAGTGAAACTTCTTCAAATACAAACATACCGGAATAGGGGTGTTAAGTGCTAGTAATTATCTCTATTTTATACAATTATTTTAATTCGAAAACTTTTCCGTTTAGTGAGATTTAGTATTGTTAATTACTTTGATTACATTTCAAGTTTCTAAATTTCTTTGTTCCTTTGTTAAATTCAACTTTATAACACTACTTCAAATATTTCTTCAAACATTTTAGATCATAAATTCCTTCCTTTTATTGAGATTTAGTATTGTTAATTACTTTCATTACATTTCAAGTTTCTAAATTTCTTTGTTCCTTTGTTAAGTTCAACTTTATAACACTACTTCAAACATTTCTTCAAGCATTTTAGGTCATAAATTCCTTCCTTTTATTTCATTGTCATACAGACAAAATGTACGTGATAAATTCAATAATTCCTGGTAGTATAAATGTTAGTTAGCTCTTTGATACCTGTTTCTAGAACTTTTCTATATCTGGTTGTACTCAACACCCTTTCGTATATGACGGAAATTCCTATATTTATCCACCACCATATCTTTCATTTAGACTCCACCCCCTTTCTTAGTTGTTCTCTAGTTTTTAAGTAAGTTTAATTTTGTTAGTTAGTATGTAAGAAACATTCTCATTAAACGCATCAACTCAAATTCGCTACTAGTTTTATTTAAAACATTCTAGTAGAACGGTAGTTCAGTAACGCAACTTCCGAGTGGTCTCCGGATAATTTTTTATCTCACGACTGCACAAAAACACCAATGTATAAAACAAAGGTCGTGGGTTCGATTCCCGGCGAGGGTGTGACAACAGTAACAAATTTTTCCTCATTAACTTGAGGTAAAATTGAAAATGAATTTTCACATTAATATTTTTGGAGAGGGACATTTTAATCCAGCCTTTGCAACAAAATATTGTTCGATTTCTTTTATCTAATCTGTATTTCCGCATTCGTATATTAATTGATTAATCAGTAGATATCTATTAAGGTTATTTTTACTTTGGCTGGCACCGACTCCAAAAATAACTGATTATAAATTGTAAATGTATATAAGTATCAATGATTTTGCCGATTTTTGTGTAATGCACTTTACTTTGACGTAATTAAAACATGATTTTTTACTTTTTAATTTAAGTTTGTACATGTAGGTGTAGTCTTGAAATCGGTTTTTGTTTTTTTTTTCCAAAAATTAACTTTGTTTTTTAATTTTTAGTATGTACTTATATATTGTTTTTTTATATTTTCAAAAACAAAATAAAATAATCATCAAAATCAATTCATATTGACGGAGTAATCGCGTAACAAATATAATCTCGTATCATTCTGTCAGTACTACTTATGAAGCATTTAGTAACATAACAAGGGCGTGTTCAAAACGCAGCGTAGTGCCAAGTGGAAACATGAAAACACAGAAAATTCTTTAAGGACTATGCCAATTTTGATCGCCTCAACTATAGATTGTTTACATTACGAGGGTGGATTGATAAGTTTCCGGCCTGACCAAGAAAAACAAGGTTTTTAAAAATTTTTTTTTTTATTTCCTCANATTTCATAACTGATATGTGTTTTCTTTCTGAAATTATTTTATCTTTAATTTACTGAAGTACTGAAGTGCACTATAAATATATATTTATTTTCGATAAATAAAATCGGTAAGTAGTCGTTAACTTAATTATCGGAGTTGATATGAACGGGAGGGAACTCGGCCAGTAGTAATTCGACATCTATATTTTAACTAAAACTACCTGCGGGAGGGAATTCGGCATCACCGTTTTTATCCTTTACTTTTTACGATAAATGATGGCTTATTTACGAAGCGATTTTAAGCAATACAACCATTCATTCTTATCCAATTAATTACCTTGAATAGAGTGTGCATTTAATATAGATCAATATGGCCCTTTACAGCATGTAATTTAAATGAATATTTTCGAAGATTTAAAATGCAAGGACATAGCGGTTGCAGCGGTACCTATAACACTTTATGATTAGTAGCGAGGAAAATAACAATTATTACCCGTGCGAAGCCGGGGCGAGTCGCTAGTATGTAATACAGTAGAACCTCGATAAAATAAAGACCAATGGAAACGTAAAATAATTTGAGTCATTGAGGTTTGTACTTACTAAGGATTTAAGTTTTAGTTTTAAAATTTCCAGTGACTTGGCAAACTCTTCACCTTTTTCCTTAAGTAAAGGTCCACTACCACTAATGTTTTTACATATTTCTACACTGTCTAAACCATGTAAACAACAAGCATTTTTCTAAATTAGGAAATTCAGCAATTCGTGACTTTCTCCCGATTCAAACCACTTTTCACTGCTTACTGAGGTGCGATGCCCAAATTATTCGTTTAAGCTATAGAGGGTTTTCATTTTAAGTAATAGAACTTTTGGACTCCGAGGAGAAGGGAACACAAAATTTTATGAATTTATAGAGGTTATTACGTTATTGAGGTTTAAGTTATCATGGTTCTATTGTATAGCAAATGCGGTAGGTGAATTAGTAATCAGAGTGACCCTAGAATAGTTTATCCTATCGAAGCCGGGACCATAAGGTATACGCGACAATGGTCTGACCACTAAACTACGAAAGAACTAGTGTATACTAATGTGTTTAGTCCTAATAATTATCTATATTTTATACAATTATTTTAATTCGAAAACTTTTCCGTTTAGTGAGATTTAGTATTGTTACATTTCAAGTTTCTAAATTTCTTTGTTCCTTTGTTAAATTCAACTTTATAACACTACTTCAAATATTTCTTNGGCTGAAACTATAGCTACAAGCTATCCAAGGATGGTACTATAGAATGTCACCTCAAGGTAGGCCTAGTGGCGTCATCTCTTGGTTAGGCCGGAAACTTATCAATCCACCCTCGTACATATAGTATGTATTCACTGTGTTGGGCCCATTACAACACTCCAAAGCAATTTATAGAGAGCAACATAAATTGCACCTTTACCATAAAAATAAATGAATTAATTAATCAAATAAAATAATGTTTTTATCAGGGCTAAATTTTAAAATACGTCACCGCTTACAAACATAACTCTAATTCTACTGGGTACCACCTTTTTTGTAAACGTATGTTTTTATCTTAGCTTTAAAATACATATATCGCTCTTCGGATCATTTTTAGCAAATAGTTTATGAACATATAGAAAAATGTAAGCAAATACATCTAATTTTTCGTTTATCTTTAAGAAATAAAATTTGTTTAATTGATACACTTGAAAAAATACAGCAGAATTGCAAGATATTGACTATGCGCACTAGTAAAATTTAATACTCTACAGAGCTTAAAAAAAAACAACTGAGGAGTGAGTATTTGGTTTTTTTTTATAAAGTGTATGTGATGTTTTCAACTAAGAATCATTTATAATATCTTTTTAGTATACATATTTGGTTTAATTCTCGTAAGAATAATCTTAATAATTTCAGTATTTTTTATCACTAATAATTTCTTTTTAGATTAATTAGACGAAATAATGGTTAAAGACACTCCGACTTTTAATACCACGCCTGCAGGAAGTTATCCGCCTCCTGGCTTTGCTCCACCTCTCCAAATGCACAGTAAGCACCTTTTTATAAAAAACAACTTTTAGTACAAAACTTAAAACAACTGTTTGTACTTTTGTAATGGATCCTGTTCTTCTTACCGTAAATAAGTGGAAAAAGTATACACTTGCTTTTGTAATAGTTTTATTTATTTAGACTACACTTAACAAGGTATACTCACACTGTTTCTGGTTAACGTTGAAATTTGATTGAATTGACAGAATTAGCAATCTTAGAACTTGTAGAATTGGCAGAACTAGTAAGAATTAGTAAGGTATTGAAAGATATTGACGGCTAGGTTTTTACTGACTGACTTTAATTTTAGCATAATTCATTATTTCGATATTATGTCTACGTGAATACCCTCAGCTGAGCTGCAATATTAATTTTGATAAATTGTATTTACTATAAGCGCGAAGTTTGACATATTCAAAATCAGAAAAACAATCTTTTAATTGTTTTTGTTTTATTTTTTTTTTTTGGTTAATAAATAACATTAAATTATTTAATGATTACTGACGTTAGATTAATTTAAATTTAAAAAAGTATTTATTTACCATTTTCACGTAAATGGCCCTGTGTCACTGTCAGACAATTTATTTGTTGTATTCTGCATTTCATTTAAAAAACAAAAATTTAAAAGAAAAATGTTACTAATAAATTTTTTTATACTCATGAAATCAACTACTTTGACGCGTCAGACTGGAAAATAGGAGAACTATCTCCATCAGACAATAAAAAAAGCTGATTTTGCTGCGTTCAAATATAAGATAGTGTGATAATCAGCTGGTTATTGATAATTTTTTTTATAGTCGTTTTTTTCGACATATTCGAGGTGTTGAACATTTTAAATGGTTTATATTATTTGTCAGAGAACATTATTTTAGCGTTTTGGTTGAAGTTTTTAGGATATCCAATTAAACAAATAAACAGTAGTTTTAATTTTTTTACATGTTTCGGAAAATTTAAAGGGAAAACGCTCCAAAATCATAAAAGTCATAGAGGAAATATGTGTCAGGCTAGGCCTAATGAAGACATATACAAAGTTNATCATCATCATCATCATCATAAGGTCATCAGTCCTAAGACTGGTTGGACACGTACCTCCACTCTTTCCTATCCTGAGCTAAACTTCGCATTTCCCTAAAACTAGAACTTGCCGATGTTTTTCCATTGGGCACTCTGGGCAAGTGCCCAGGGCCCCACGATCAACGGAGGCCCCCTATACAGTTCCTGTCAGATCCATTCGCCAACCATAAGCCGATAATTATTTTAAGAAAATTAATCAATAATTGCTGTTAGAATATTTACTTGCATAATCGCTTTTTGTGATTCTTCAAACATTTATATATTCTGGAATTGTATTATTTCCAATCGCTCTCCAAAGAGAAAAATACAGAATCTGACTACAAGGACTTGTCTCAAAGAATAAGACTTAGAAGTTCGCGCCAGACATTTTTTGATAACTGCACCGATAGTCCAACTAAGTTGGGAAGAGATATTAAAGTAGAAATATCTTACTTCCCATAAGTGATATCACAAGCGTGCATCTAAAACAACGATTGAGTTTTTGTTTTTCGTTTGAAAACTCCAAATCCAGAGAGAAAGTTGCAAATAATTTGCTGCTATAAAGATGTCAACGAGAAAGAGTTAAAAATAGAATGTCTGTATTTGGCAAAGTTTTGATAAAAAACCGAGTTTGAGACACATTTCCAAATGTAGAAATTGCATTGAGAATCTTTTTAAACATGATGGTAACTAACTATAGTGACGAATGCTCCTTCTTTAAACGGAAAAGAATAAAAAATAAGTTAAGACGAACAATGCTTCAAGAAAGATTGATCAGTCCATAGAATGGGATATGCTCAAAGAGAAAGAGTTTGAACAACCGGTTGACGATTTTGTATATCTGAAAACTAGAAGGGTGCCTTTTCAAAAAAAACAATTTTAAGTACCAACCTGAGAATGATATTAGAGTTACTACTTTAGAGTCATATTACAATTATCTATTCATTTATGTGAATGTAAAGAAACAAATAACAAACCAAAATAATTCTCTGTCAAAGCTGTAGGGGCCCCGGTAGGCTTATGTGCCCAGGGCCTCCAATAGGTTAAAGACGGCCCTGAATGTTTGTTCAATGACTGCCATTCAGAGTGTTGTTCCTTGTTACTAAATACATCATTATGTGAAATAATATATCAGTTAATAATAATAATTCGAATATAATGTATAAAAAATATATTAAAACACAGAGGTACATTACACTTTTTAAAGTACAACTTTAATGAATCTGTTTAATCGTGTGGGTATTGTATTTATAGATCCAACTGTTATAAGTGCGCCACCACAAAGTTCTTTTGGACCGGTTAGTAAGATGATGACATGTCCTTACTGCAACAGTCAGATCAGCACTAAAGTAGTTGCAAATGCTACAACGAAGACCCACTTAATTGCACTACTACTTTGTCTTTGCTTGTAAGTATTTAAATACTTTTTTTCGTAAAATGCGAGTTAAATATTAAAAATATCATTGGTAAAGGCCTAGATGATGGACCCCACCCCCGAAGGGGGTGAGGGGGATCGAAACAGGAGGTCTCCCCCACCACTGTACCATAAAAAGTTCGTGGCGGTCTCACCCCCATAAAAAGTTATGGGGGTTCAAAGTTAATAAATATGCCAATTTTTATACATTTCTAGGCATGTAAATATTTATATAGTCATTCTTAAACAATATTCAAAGGTAAAACTAATGAAAAATACATAAAAATATTGAGAAAGTTATATAAAACATTATTTAAATATCTTTATCAATAGGGTAGGTTAGGTTAGGTTAGGTTATCGGGTTTTGTTCAAGTGACCACCCTCTTTCGATCCCCCACCTCCAACCGCTTGAAAATAATTATTTTATTGAATTTTATTTGAATTATAGTGTATGAAAATTAACATAACTTTTTATGCGGTGAGACCGCCACGAACTTTTTATGGTAGAGTGGTGGGGGAGACCTCTTTTCATCGTCTAAACCTTTACCATATCATTTTTATAATATCCATTACATTTTAATTGATTAATCAACCTTGGCAATACAAAAACAACTTTTGTTATTGTTGAAAGTAAAATTAAAACCACTAAGGTTTCCAAATCGATTTTACATGTTCAATACCCTTTTGGAATAATTTCCAATAAGTACCTACCTATAAACAGATTAAGGGTAGAGGGGACAAAGGGTATATGCACCACTCCTCTAGACGATCGAAAATTTGAGTAAGGGTAATATTGGGCCGCTACAATTGCTTATCGGTTTAGTTTTAAATTAATATCTACCTTCAATTTTCTGTGTTGGCGAACGTAGCCGAAAAGGGTTTTCATCTCTGAACAAGTGATGCATCATTGTTGTTTAAACAATTAGGTCAAAAAATCCGATTTTATTCCGGAAAGGCATCGTAACTCTGCCAAAGAGGTACGTCATTACTTTTTAAACGATTAAATCAGAAAATCCGATTTTATTTCAAAAAGTCTTGTTATCTAGGAAAGGGTGGTAAGCAGGCGCAAACTCAGGGGGTTTTTGAGGTTTCTAACCCCCCCCCCCCGAAACGTATGAGAAAGTTGCACATTTTTATTTTATATTTTATTTTTCATAATTATTTGTAACTTTTAAAATATATTTTTGATTAGAATGAGTCTAAATTGTTTATATACAACTATGAAGAGAATATACATTGAAAGAGCTTTGTAGAATTTATACCTGTGTGAAGAAATTCGTCAGTTAAAAATTGAAAATAATAGTAAAATACTTAAAACTTTTTCAGTGTTGTTATCAGCGACAAGGTCATTTTCTAAATGTAAACGTTTTTATTATTACGTTTATGTTTTTTAATTTAAATATATTCTAAACTTATTTTTGCTATGTTCAATATTTTTTCCAATTTTCCAATTTTGCATTCACCCCTCAGTAAAAGCTGTTTTTTTCCCTCAATTACCTACCTCTACATTTATGTGTAGGCATTTCATATCAGTATCGGTATTTATCCATCTACAATATTCTTTCCAATTTTTTTTTCATGATCAATATTTCGTCATAAAATTTAAAAATCAAATTTTGATGTGTACTGCAATTCTAAAATACACAGTAGGTACCTTTTTTTAAATATTTTTATGATAACCTCTCTTGTAAATATTTTCTGCGTTCGCGTCTGGTGGTACGACATTGTTTTTTAGACAATTAGGTCAAAAAAGGAAGATACTGTATTTTTTAAAAACAATTAAAAAGTTAAAAAATGTAAAAACAATCAAATGCGGATGGGAATGACTAATACAAATAAGAAAATAGTACGATTATAAGTATAAATAATAGCGCTGTTTAATTACATGTAGGTAAAATGAGGAGTAGATATATATAGATGTACGTACAATGCGACATGTCCTTTTTTTGTCAAAACAAGATTTTGATGGTAAACGCTTCTACGTAAATATATCTGTCTGTCATTAATTTCCTGAGATCAAAATACGACACTTCAGCCAGTTAAGTGCAAAATTGGATATCCTTGAAATTGCCTACAAATTGAATTCTTATGTGATTTGATATCTGTAAAATTAAGGAAGTTACGGCTAAAAAACTATCGTGTTATTACAAATTTCATAGTAAGAGGTTATTCTTATAGGTTCATACGTTGCAATAAAGTATAAAAATTATTATTAACAAAAAGGGGATTTTAATCAAATAATAAATGCACCATCAAAAAATTTGAAACACTTGAAACTAATTTTTTTGTTAGTTGAAGCACTTGAATTACTCATAATTTACATATCGGTATATGAAAGAAAGGTTATTGTACATGCTGAAATATTATTTTATCGAAGTATTGCTTAAATGTATTGTTGTTCAATTTTTTGTTAAAACGGGTTGTTCTCATTCCCATAAAAAATGCTCTCATGAGAAACATATAACAAAATATATTGAAATTACAGAAGCTGATCTCAGAACGAGGTTGACGAGGTAGTTTCTTTCGCGTGTTATGTCTGACTAATAATTGCCAATATTCCCGTACCCCACACTTCCTGAACAATAGTGCTGTTTTTATTTTCACACGGCACACAAGTAGGAACTTCCCCGAAACACATACATAAAGTATAAAGCTGTTCACTCAACGAGACTAAACAACTCTTGAGGCCGTCTGCAAAATCCGATACGTTAATTTTGTGCCGACGATCTCAAATGTGCACAATGTTTATTAAAGTCGGCGCTGCCAGAAAGGATTCTAAAGCAAAATTCGCTATTGCTATCGTCGTCCACTGGACTACCTATTAGACGTGTCGCGGTTTAAAAAAATTTGCAAACGTAAAGAATCGAATTCCTATTGTTGTATCCCGCGACTATGTCGCGTTCTTAAATTGGGCTGTACACGCTCACTTCCAAGCAAGTAAACCAGTACACACTTTTTGAGAACAACTTTATTCCTTATTACTTACACTTAATTTA